AAAATGTGTCTTACCTAGTTTGAAGAGCACCTCTCGCCCTCCATCAATTGTGTGCACTAATCCCGTCACCATCAATCCCACCACTACTACTCCCAACACTTACACCCTGATTCTATCAATTATATAGTAGATAATTCAACTTTTAATTTAAAATACAAACCAACATCAAAATTAAAAAAAGATGTTATTTGCACACAATACATTTAGAAGTGGGTGCTAAGACGTAGAATTAAAGACATTGTTTCAAATAATTAAAGCATTTTGAGTTGTCTCAAGACTATCACATGTTTAAGGTGACAACTAGAAAGTATTTTTAAAAAGGTGCATTAAAATCGACATCTATTATTTTTCAGGCAAGGATTTTTTCTTAGAACTATCTATGAAGTATATCCTATTTATAAAAAAAAATACTTACATAAAAAATATCTCCGCGACGAATAATATATAACCCTTTAGTTTATTGGATCACATTTAAAAAAGGAGAAGGAAGATTGACCTTTGTAGTTTACACAACCGAAAATCATTAAAGCAAGTGTGCTGTTAAATGCGTAGCGCTATACGTCGAACATTTGATAAACATAGTTAATTATGTGGACCAAGGGACGCGTGCCTTTATTGACTAATTGACAAATTAATATAACATTAGTTACTATGTGGTTTTTTATCTGCACTGTTAAAAATTGTGATGAGACATTAGTGTTACATCTCTATTTTAACAATATTATGTCATTCGTGGGAGACTGGTGCCCATGTAGGTTTAAAGACCCGTATTACAGGTCACCAGGAGCCCCCCCCCCCCCCGAATTTATTTGGCAACTACATAGGTTATAATCTATCTCCAAACTAACGGCCAATATATTCCTCTTGAACTCTACTGCGTCCGCCCATCTATGAGTCAGATAGACCAGAAGATCACAAGCTGATCAATCACGACGAAAACCGTATTGGCGGTCACTAATCAGCTGGTGATCCTCAAGGTACCTCTTGACTTGGGAGTTTATTATGTACTCCATTATTTTGGAGAACAAGGAGGCGATGGCGATAGGCCTGTCTAAGCGGTCGCCTTTTTCAGGGATCGGGTGGACCAAAGCTGTCTTCCATGAATTCGGGGCTGCGCCTTGGGACTAAGAGTACCGGAAAAGACGCATTAAAACTGGTGCTAACTCAGGAGCACACGTCTTTAACAAAATGGGAGGGACTTCATCAGGCCCACTCGACTTGCTGACGTTTAGGGAGAGGAGTGCTTTGCGAACCAAGCGCTGTGTAAATCACACATCTGGTATGGAGCACTCATACCGCGGGATGGTCGATGGTGTGTTCCCCTCGTCATCGAGAGTAGAGTTCGACGCAAAGAGAGAGCTAGGCTAGCTAACACATCGGATTTCTCCTTCATGTCATGGGCTAGAGAGTCGTCCTCTTTGTGCAGAGAGACTATTTTTCAGAAGCGAACAAATCATGGCAGGGATCTGCCGCCGATGGGCACCATAGAGGATGGAATAAAAAGTTCCATACCCTGACGTACCGCACCAGCGACAGAATCAGCAACATCACTGTGGTCGTCCGAATATCGATTGAATATTGATATATAGCGATTTTAAAATATCGTCGATGCATATGGATATTTTTATGAGAAAATATCGATGTTTCGATATATCGATAGTTTTTACAAGCCTGCAGTGCTGTTGCAACGGAGTAGGGGTCGAATTATTCGAAAAATTTAGTAAGAACTGAACTTTTGTGAATTAGAAGCAACATTTTCACTTAGAAATTTACACAGAATTTTCTTAATAATCTCTGCATTTTACGTTTTTCTACAACAGACTGAACAGGTTTTCATTTAACCGCTTTTGAGAAGAAAAGTGTGGGGCACTACACCTTTCTAAAGTTTTAGCGGTTCTTGTACTCGTTTAAACTTAAGCATAGACATACCATGTAATTTTCAACTAGAAAACAAATATGATTTTATTTTATGACGACCTGTGTGGTGAAGCTTACTAACAATGGCTCTGGGTTCGATTTCCTGACTAAAACGATTCTGGGTAGATTCGTTATTGTGTCAATGATATTTTTATATTTTTAGAGGCATATTTATTCATAATAGTATATTGAAGTTCTAAGCATAGCTAAAAATACTTCACTCACATTCTTTAAATGTAGTTCACAATCTTGGTACTCATGCCTGTGCTATTTTTCTTGTATATTGATTGTATAGGTAAGAATAAGAACATAATTAAATTAGTGAATATGAATGCACACTGGCGCACAGTGATCATTAGTCAAACTGAAAATAATGGTATAGACTAAAAATAATTTTTTATAGGTCCTAAAATGGCGACAATTTGTTAAACAGCCTAAACGATATTTCGAGAGCCTTACAGTCTTAATAGCTGAACTATGTATGTTATGGATTCTATTATACAGCCATTAGTTTTTAAGGTGATACCTCGAAAATTTGGTGGTTTTTCTATTTAACATATTTTTTTAAGTTTTATGGATTACAAACCAAAATTTTGGTATATAATTTTTGACTACATGACCTTGGATTGCATAAAAGGAAAACACAGTATCATGAATTTTCTCGATAGGAATAAATTGTAAAGTAGGCTCTAATTATTTACATTTTTCCATGTCACCACAATATTCTTACGAATAAGTTCATGGAATTATTTTAAGGTATAGTAAATAACCATATCTAAGTATTCATAAACCAGTTTTTTAATCCATAACGAAGTTTTGTTAAAATAAATAAAAATGTTGTTTGGCGCTTACGTAGTTATTTTCCGAGCGCTTGCTCGGTATGGCTATCTCATAATTTGCGTACTATGAAGTCATTGCATCACTTTCGTTTTGACACTCCCTCAGTCGTCCGTTAGCTTCATCGATAAAGGAATAAGCCACGCACCCAAAACTTCGATTCATTTTCAAGGTATCCTCTTAATCAGTTGTATAATAGACTATTTCTATTACTTACGCTGTATAGTAGTTTTTAAAACATCACATATAATTGTCTTTAGAGATAAGTATAAAAGATGAAAAACCTTTGTCTTTAGTACAACACTTTTATCCCTTTTTCACTTTATCTCATTTAAATAGTAACGTTTTAATTAAATTACAGTTGTTGTTACATCCACGTTTTAATAATTTTGTTGTTTTATTTTATGGACAAGGACAAAAATGTATTTACTTCTTTCACTTCTTTTAAGACGGAGACTATATAAAGCCACATAGCCAAAGTTAATAAATTTATAAAAAAAATTTTTTTTCATTATTGTACCATCCGAAATCCATCGATCGAAATTACTATCGCTTTTATTCAGTTAAATTCTCAAACTAAACCTTAATTTTTTATCTGTAGTTACAAAAAATATGACTATGATGTAGCAAATAAAGATTACCGATACATCTTTGAAAAGTAAAAAAGTGGAGTAATAAGTTCATTACCAAAGAATATAGTAGAACGTACATTTCACTCGCGCTCAAATTGCCAGTCCTTTGACTCGCGCCCAAAAAAGGGACGAGGAGCATGACGTGCGGCATGACGAGTATTGTAGCCACACTTAGGTCTCTGCCTCCTTTCCTCGCTACTTCCCATGCTACACACCACCAGGGGGAGGGGGGAGGGAGGTAAGATTAGGTTTTTACCTACGTAATTGTAGTTTTTTTTCTATATTTTTTATTTCTTATAACCAAAATAATGATTCATCTTTGCCAACACAGTGGCAGTTTGTTGATGCCCTTCTTGAAGAAATCAGAAAAAGAAAAAGTAGAAAGTCTGTAGGCGAAAGATCTAGTAAGTACGGCGAATGATGGAGAGCTTCCAACCCCAGTTCTTGTAACTTGGCGACAGTCTGTTGTGCAGTATGAGGTCGCGCGTTGTTGTGCAGAAGTAGCGGTGTCAAACGATTGACCAAAGCTGGTTGTAGACTTGCAAGCTTCTCCATCACTGTGTTCAGTTCTTCATAGTAGACATCCGCAGTAATGCTCATCCCGCTTGGTAAGAAGCTGTGATGAATCACATCAGCGCTATACCACCAAACAGTGACCATCATTTTTCTATTGGTAAATTTTCGTTTACGGCATTGCTTAGGTGCTGAATCAAGATTAAATCAACTTGCTGAGCGCTTGCGATTGTCAAATTGAATCCATTTTTCGTAGCAGGTAACAATGCATTCAAAATTCTTCGTCTGTGTGCCCATAGAGCAGTGAAAGGCATGTCTTGACGTGTTCTTCGCGCTGACGGTAACTGATTTCGTGGGGCGCCCATTTTTTTAAGCTTTTTTACCTTGTCAATTTGACGCAAATGGACCAATATTGTGTTGCTGCTAATTCAGCCGTGGATTGAGTATCATCAGCTTCCACAATCGCCTTTAATTCGTCATTGTCGACCAAAGTTTCCGGACGATCACCGGGTTTATTTTTCAGATCGACATTTCCAGAACGAAAATGGGCAAACTAATAACAGATGGTGCGTTCGTTTTGTCAGGCAAAGTATATGACAAAAAGAAAAAAATGAATTGAAAAAGAATTCCATATTTTTAAAATAAAACTATTTAAAATTAGAATTCTTAGTCAAACAAAAATTATTTTGATTTGAAATGACCAGTACTAAAGAGCAGCAGTTTCATAGGTAAAGATTTATTAAAAAAAGCATGATGAAATTGTACTGCCATCTGCCATCAAAGTGTGTAGAATTGCCGGAAGTTTATAGTTGGAACGATTAATCGTACTGAATCTGCCTGATCCTTACATACTCAAGGCTGGTATTTTTTTTTGTAGAAAGTTATCTGTGATACGTTACAGTTCATGTCAAATATAGACTTGACTGTTATATTTCCCATTAGGCGCGTGCCCGTCAGTGATAACACGGGTCACGAGTTACTCTTATATATGAGGTGCCGGTCGACTCTTATCGCAGTCTCTTTGGCCTAAGCTGTATGAGCCGACGCAGATTCCTACACACACTAAAAATAAAGTAATTATTTAAAATGCCCTGGACAAGCATGAACAGGTAAAATTATTGGGATTTATATATATTTTTCTCAAACAATTTTAATTTACCAGTGCCAGTGAATTTTTTTGAATTGTTATAGAATTTACGCGAAACCCTCTAACACGAGTGGAGGTGAAGGTGTTGCCTCTGCACCGACCAGCAACGCACGGATCGCACTCACCGCGGCAGCCGACACTGGCGGTCGTTTCGAACTGAGTGACCACGGTTACGGCAAAAGCTGCGTCAAGCTCCTCCACGTTTACCGTGATGGAGAACATCACGCCATCCGAGAATACGAAGTGTCGACGGAATTGAAACTCACAAGCGAATCACCTTACGTCATTGGAGACAATAAAGATGTGGTCGCGACCGACTCGCAAAAAAACACTGTTTATTTGCTAGCGAAAAAGCACGGTGTTAAAACACCCGAAGAATTCGGTGCAGTGGTTGTGAACCATTTCCTGTATATGTATAAGCAAGTCGGTGAGGCTAAGTGTCGTGTTGTAGAATATCCGTGGGAGAGACTGCAGGCAGGCGCCCCCCACAATCATGCCTTCATTTTTTCACCAACCGCTACTAGATGGTGTGAAGTATCTCAAGTTAGACATGGTGAGTTTTAAAACTTTTAGCAATTACAAAATTATATTTGTAGTCGTAGCATAAACATTTGATAAAGACCGATGTATGGGAGAACGCTTTCTCCACTATAAAGTTAAGTTTATACTTTAATCCGACTTAACTTTTCGTTACAATAATGCTCGGTGTTTATTCTACCTTAAATTGTGAAAATAAGTAAATTAATTATTTTGATGAAAGTATGTACTTATCGAAATGCTTACACGTATACGTACATATTGTATATAAATAAATATTATCTTTGTTAATTTACGTCATTCGTATATCGGTATCGAAAACAGGCAACATTGTGAATTCCCGGTTCCCGGGATGGATGAACTAATTACGTACGTATATAATTAAGTTTATTCAGAAAACTCATTCCTTTTCGCTCTTGTCCGGTTTTTTCTTTATAATCATACAACAACAAGGCATAAGATATAAACATAATTTTAGAAATTTTTTCACGTGATTAAACCGTATCATCATCATAATCGTCCCTCTCAAGACTACTATTAGACCTTCTATGTCTTTCCATGATAGTCTTCAGTTGAACAGTATTTTTAGGAAGAGTTGCTCGCCTGTACTTATCACGCCAGGCAGGAAACTTGGTGAGCGCAAAAACTTTCACCTGAAACTAATGATACTCATACTACCCTCATCAGTGGTCTGTCATTTCGTTAGAGCCTTATTCTTCAATAATTTGAAGGGTACACCGTGGTAGCTCAGGGCTCCACCACCATTCGCCTTAAATTCATAGCACATGAGGACTGATTCCGGACTCTTTTGGCATTAATAAAATTTATAGTTGCAAGTTTAAGCGCTGTTTTAAGAGTTAGCGCTGTGCTTGGCGTTGAAGAAAAACATCGTGAGGAACCTACATGTTTAATAAATTAAAAAAAAAAACATTGCGGACATGATGTGTTATCCACAAACACGCATTGTAGCAATAAAGCGGATTTTTACGTCCTTAAAAATTATCATCAAAAATGAGGAGGTCTGTGCCTTGCTGTGGGATATATTACGTGCTGTTACCTTCATCTCCTTACCCCTTACGTTTTGACTTACTAATATCATTAGCATGGTATTTTATTGTCTATGATTTATGTTACTTAAATGACCTAATTTTTATACAGACGCAGTCGTAGTAAAATCGGGTTTGAGCGGATTACGAGTGTTGAAAACGACACAATCTGCTTTCGTTGATTTCGTTCAAGATGAATATACAACGCTTGCAGATGCTGCAGAACGCATATTCAGGTGAATTATTAATTTAAATAATTTTTTCTAGATGCTATCCTGTTTTTTACCAGGGTCACTTTATTTAAAGTCTAATATTGAATTTGTTTTTTTGTCCTCTGTAGTACTGTAGTAGAAGCTGAATGGACGTATGATAATATGCGGACTCCTGACTTTGACAATGCATGGCTGACTGTCAAAGATGCGATTTTGGATAAATTCGCTGGACCACCTGACACCGGAGTTTATTCTCCTTCTGTTCAGCATACCTTATATCAAGCCGAGAAAACAGTTCTTGAAAAAGTTTCAGAGGTACGTTATTTGTATCCCATTCATTCATTTATCCATTTCCGCCTATCGAAAGCCTATCTCCTGTTTTAATTTTTCTCTGCTACCCGCAACGACACTCAGCATATGAGGTTGTGCATAATATGCCATTCTTTCTAATTTATAGAAATCATGAACAAAAAATGTACTGCTCGCGAATTATATTTATTATTATTGATGTTAAAAATATTTTAGATTGCTTATCTCACATGATTAAGGACATTAAACAGACAGCAGTAAATTATGTTTACATGCAAGATATTTTAACCCTAACTCTACTAACTAATCTATCAGTCATGTGACCAGGCTATCACGTTGCGTGTTATTGAAGTATGAAATACCGCTTGAGTACTTACTTACTTATGTAGGACGGACGCGTGCGGTGATAAGAGGTAAAAGGGATGGACTTTTGTTTATTATTTATGTAAACAATATAACGTTCCTTATTGCATAATAAACGAGTTATTTTTATTTGTTATTAAAATAAAAATAAAATATGTATCCATAGGTCGTTGGTTCAAATCCGGCTCGAAGGACCACTTAACTTGCATGTATCAATAAAATGCAAGTTTATATTTAATTTTGGAACATTAATTAATAATTATTTGATGGAGAACCGTCTACACACTTTGAATATTAGACATACGAAGGGTAGTTGTAAATACAAAAATTTGTGAACTTAGTGTTGGAAGAAAAACGTATAATAGTAGTAGTAGTAAAAACAATATATACAGATAAAGATAACTTTTTGAAAATTAATTAACAGTGATCAAGTAAAACATGTAGATATATGATTAAATAAAAGATAAAAATTAAAATAATACATTCAGGTTCTGTACATTAAAAATTTTAACAAAGCAAAACGTATTCCATTTTTTACAATACATGTTTGTTTACAAAATAAGCATAAATTAAGAAAACCTACAATTGGACATCTTTATAAAGTATAATACTTTCGGTAAACAAAACATGCTTGATGTGAATTGTAAGTCATCATATCGCGTGATTTTCTTTATACCTATATATGTGGCCAAGGTCAAGATCAAGGATCATCAAACGTATCAATAATAGGAAGTTATTGACGTATTTATTGTTGACAAATTCAAGGAATGTTTAAAATCATTATGACAATATGCTATATAATTTTAATGATAAGATTTGATTTAAAACGGCTCTTTAATAAGTTTGCAAAAATAATAAACATTTTATTTTAGTCTTTACTTATATCACGCATATAATACATTTTAAAAATAATTGCTTGTTTAAGCATTGCTTGCGTAAAGTAGTTGACGTCGTAAAGTATATTTATTCTGTTTTTTTTTAATTGTTAAATACCGCAATAACAGCAAAAATAAATAAAATTTTTGCTGTTATTGCGGTTTTAAGGAATCTACAAACTTATATCAACCCATGAGTGCGTAAGAGGCACTCATCTTGATATATTATAACTGAAAATAATAAACAAAATACGGTTACCTACAAAGCGTGGCAACAAAGGCCAAAACTCTTACTAGACTTAGATTTTAATGGACTGTTATTGCTTAACTAATAATTAACTGAAATATAAGCTTATAATAAAATTTATATATGAAAAAATAAATAGAATTTGTGGACTGTGTGATGATAGACTTTATTCTTTACAGATTACTTGGATCAAAATGACCATGCCAAACAAACATTATCTGAACATCGACATGTCGAAATTCCCCACCAATGTGACGAAAGGTGATCCGCGTCACCATATTTATCAACCTGTAGACAAGCCTGCTGGACTCATCTACGCACAGTTACGCCGTAGACCTAAAAGCCACTTGTGACGTAGTAAAGGCTACGTTTCGTAGTCCTGTTGTTGTTAAGAAATGAGGCTAATCTTCGGTTAAATTAGGTTTGGAGATTTGTTTTTGTATATATTATATATGGGTATGTATATAACATTTAGATTATGCGCATATTCATGGTATAAATGACAATTGCTTAAAATTTTAATAAATTCAAAATTACAAAAAATAATATAAGTATGTGTCAATCATAACCTAATAATCAATAATGTGGCAAATTTTGTATTAAGTTTAATATAAATTTCATGACAAAGTTTTTTAGATAATTAATTATAATAATTGGATATTTCAAGTTCACGATCTGTGAATAGGCATTTTATAGGATGAACGAATTAACTATCAAGGATACTACCACAACATAATGTCAGGTAGGATCTTAGCCAAGCGTTGAAGCGTTGATATCAGTAATAAAAAAGATACATCGTTAATAAGAAAAAGTTCGAATCAGCTTATCAATAATTAAGCGAGAGTAGTAGTTTGATGTTATGATCATATGTTTTGTAAACACAGATTCGTGTAAATTAGTTTAAATTAGTTGAGCCTTTTTTGAAAATTTTAAAAATTGTTATAAAATTATAAAAAATATTATTTTTATTGAACAATGTTTGGTCATAAAGTTCTCAGCGCTTAAATTCTCTAAAAAGTTAAAAAAATCTAGTCATCTTTAAAGAGAAAGAAAGGCGCTCATAAACATTTTGACGTGGTCAGTTATAAACTTATTTTGTATTAATCGGTGAAATAAAGTAATAAATTAAGTATTACTATACCAGTATTTTTATTTTACCCGTTTCTTTATTTAACTTAAACTTAATGTATATACCTTACCAATGGAGATAAACCCTATGCGCAAGACAAGATTGAGTACACGAATGTGTGCGCAAAAATAGAAGTGCATCGTTTATTCCTTCACTGTCATAGTCCGTTAGGATTGCCACCAACACGACCGGAGGGATCAGGCGCAGGGCCAACGGCTTTCTAAGTCACGGGGATGAAACACCAGCAACTTCATCCAACGGCTCTGGACTGTTTGAGAATTTTTGAACAGAAAAATCTAATAACTGGTTTTTTGACCCAACCTAAAATTCGAAGCCGAGACCACACTGCGCCTAAAACTATTAGAAGAAAGATAGCGGTAGAAAAGCTGGATATATATCCAGCCATTATAGCCTGTAAAAGTCCACTGCTGAACCTACGAAGATTGCCTTACAAGGGAGTTTTTACCATAGTTGCCAAGCATGTCAGGCGCGTGGGCCTGCCATGCTTGGCAACTATGGTAAAAACTCAAGTGCCAAGCATGTCAACCGCAATTTCTTATAATTTTGAGTTGTTATCTGGATGATGCTACTGCCCATTATCTGTTTCAGTTGCCCTCTGTCGCTTCTTACAAAAGCCACGGTACGATATGGTGTAGTTGATGTGCTGACACCGCCACATCCTACACATTTATCTAATACACCCAATCAGTAACAATAATAAATAACAGGAATATTAGCCCAATATATTTAAAATACTTACGCGCCAACAATGATACACGCCTATATTCACACTGTAGAGAGCCGATGTCCTCGTACTAGTGTGTTGCAGCCCATCATCAATTTATAGATGTTGAGTTTGGACGGCAGCAGCGTAAAAGGACCATATATTTGTAACATATGAGTCAGCACTACGAATTTTTTTCTGAATGGTGTACGTGTGGTGGCGGAGTAGCAGAATGTAATAGTACTCATTATCAGTCACCAGAGTCTCTTCTTGTTATAAGCGGGATGTAGCATGTTTTTTATAGGAGACGGGGCAAACGAGCATACGGTTCACCTGATGTTAAGTGACTACCGCCACCCATGAACAACTCCAACACCAGGGGAATTTCAGGTGGCGCGTTGGAGGCCTTTTAGAAAGGAGTAAGCTCTTTTCTTGAAGGTCCCTAAGTCGTATCGTTCGAGAAAAATCACCGGTGGTAAACTATTCCACAGAGAAGTTGTAAGAGGATGAAAACTCCTAGTAAAACGCACAGTGGTGGACCATCAAACATCCAAATGGTTTGGATGGTATCGGGAGTTTTGCCGCGACGTGCGTTCATGAAATTTGTTGGCTGGGATTAATCTGAACTATTTATTCCTCAGAGCACTTCCTCGTGGTAGATGCGAAAGAAAATGCAAAGAGATGCAACATCTCTTAGCAGCGCTAATGAATCGAGCCGATCGATAAGCACTCGGTCGTCGACTATTCGAGCCGCTCTGCGCTGGATTCGGTCAAGTGGAAGGAGCTGGCACTGGGAAGCCTCAGCTCAGAGATGAGAACATTATGCCATGTGAAGACGAACTTGCGCTTGTAAAGTTGCAGGCGGTGTGTCGGTATAAAATACTGTCCCGTTCTGCTGAGCACCCCAAGCTTTTTAGAGGCCAATTTGGCCTTCTCTTCCAAGTGATTACGAAACTGCGCGTCACTCGATATGTTGACGCCGAGGATTCCGATACTGGCTGACTGGTTTTAAAGCACTCCTCTTGTTGCTACAAGGGGAGTGCCTTATAATAGCGGGGATATGAGGAAGGGGTTCATTTTAGCGGTAAACGCGCAAACTTATGTCTTCTGAGGATTAAATTGGACAAGATTTAGTCGCCCCTAATTCGAGACTTTGTACAGCAAATACTCGACTTCAGACACAAGTTTGTCCTGGTACTTGGCGACGATTTCCCAAGAAATATTGGCACTGCCGGTGCACAGAGCATCACCAGTGTTGTCGTCTGCATAGCAATGAATGTTACCGGTTTGCAACATATCATTGATATGCAGAAGAGTCAGCGTTTGTGATAGCACGCAGCCTTGTGGAACGCCAGCATTAATAGGCTTGTAATTGGAGCATGCACCGTCTACAACGACCTTGATGCTCTGATCTGTAAGAAAGCTGGTGATCCAATTGCACAATTCCTCGGGAAGCCCATAGGAAGGGATCTTCGAAAGAAGCGCTTTGTGTCAAACCCGATAAAAGGCCTTCGCAATGTCCAAACTTACGGCCATTACCTGCAGCCCCTTGGACTTCACTGCCTCCGACCATCTATGAGTCAGGTAGACCAGAAGATCACCAGCTGATCGAACCTGATGAAAACCGTATTGGCGGTCACTAATCAGCAGGTGATCCTCAAGGTACCGCATGAGCTGGCAGTTTATAATGGATTCTATTATTTCGGAGAACAAGGAGGTGATGGCGATAGGCCTGTAGTTTCATAGATCTGAGCTGTTGTCTATTTTAGGAATTGGGTGGACGAAAGCCGTCTTCTATAATTTTGGGACTACGCCTAGGGAGTAGGAGTAGCCGAAAAGACGCGTTAGAATCGGTGCCAACTCTGGAGCACACAAACTCAGCACAATTAGGGGGATTCCGTCAGACGCACTCAATTTGTGGTTGTCCAGGGAGAGGAGTGCTTTGCGAACCGAGCGCTTTGTGAACCGTACATCCGACATAGAGCACTCACACTGCGGTATGGTCGGCGGTGTGCTTTCCCCGTTATCGTGAGTCGAGTTGGATGCAAAGAAAGAGCCTAGCATATCGGCTTTCTCCTTTGCGGCATGGGCTAGTGAGTTATTCTCCCTGTGCAGAGATGGAAGAGATGGCTGACAGAAATTCCCTTGGACAGCCTTGGCGAGAGACCAGAATGCCAGAAGGAAGGTGAACTAGTTTCTTGCCAATTCTGCCTATGTGCTCTGACTTTTCCTTGGAAACGACTCTTTTGAAGGACCTGGAGGCGGAATTATACTTCTTTTTTTAGGGCACTGGTGTTTACATTCCGGGACGTTGATGCATCAGCCCAGACCCGGTAGCACTGCTTAAAGAATGATGCTATTTTACAGGAGCGACTAAACCATGGCTGAAATCTGCCTCCGATGGGCACTACAGAGTAAGGAATAAAAAGTTCCATACCCGGAAGTACTACAGCAGCGACAGAATCAGCAACAACTTTGGGAACGTCCGGCAAGAAGCAAACCCGCCCCCAAGCGTAGGATGCAAAAAGACCGCATCCTATCCCAATCAGCGAACCTATAGTGCCAAACACTATGCCAACCTGCAGAATGTAACCGCGATTTTAGCGTGGGTGGCACCACACTCCGGACTATACAATGATCCGAGGAGCCATGAGGGGCATCGACGGAGACCTGATAACTGTCTGGATGAGAGATCAGCAGAAGGTCCAACAGGTGCATGATCCTCCACATGCCAAGGCAAAATCATGAACAGACCTCCCCGCATGATCGGTTTAACGTAAGCCAAGCCATTCGACGTGGTGAGCGTTAAAATCTCCGAGGATCACAATCTCTGCGGATCTGCTGTAGCAACGAATCTGTAGCCATTTGGAAGTGGTCGATGAGTCCATCTATTTCAGCATTACCGATATAGGACTTATAGAGGCACCCCGTAGACACGCGAGATACAAAGCCTTACCTACCTTTAAGACTGCCGAGGCGTTGAGAACAGATATCCTCTTTGACAAATAACTCCAGCCCGAGGCACAAAGGAGTGTTCCAGTTTGTACTCCGGGTAAGAGAGATACGAAGCACCAGCTGCAGAGGACACTCCGATCAAAAGGAAAAGCTGGCCTCGGCGTTTGGGGGGGGTTGTTCTTCCCTGATATTGTAGAAATTCACGGATAGGTCGGCTTTAGTCTTATTGCTCCGCTTGCCAAGAGCAGATATTGTCTTGAGCGGAATTAGCCCTCCCCCCCCCCAGAATACGCGAGGCAGCCTGAGCAACCACGCTAAGAAGTGGAGTAGCTTGATCGTGGATGCTCAGCGAGGGATTCTCTAGGGGTGCTACTACCCTCCTGGGGTAGTCTTACATTTAATTCCGCTACCATGTTAATGGCGGGGGGGGGGGGAGGAATGGTTCTTCGGCTATCTCCACTCACCAGACAAAATGCGCAAGCAGAGCTTCCACAACACGCCAGTATTCTGTGAGGTCGTGGTACCACTCCGGCTCGAGTCGGCCCATAATACAACAGCAAAAGCTGCCTCATGGCACTACCACTGTTAAAATCTGAAATAGGAAACCGAATATTTTTTTCATATTACCTAGCAGCCTTTATATCAGCATAATTGAAAATATTATTGCTTTCTAATTAGTTTTATTGATCGGTATATATTCATGGTTGTCTGCAATAAATTGATTGCGAAATAAGAAACAATTTAATGGAATTTGAAAAGCCTATAAGTATTCTATAGCTTAAAAATTAAAAATTGATATCTATAAATAATATTATGAAAATATTAGATACATCATTAAAACGTCTATAGCATTACTTACTACAATTATTTAATTACAACACTTAACACGTTACATTTATTAATGAAATATTTTAGAAAAAGGGAAGCATTGTACAAAAAGTTATACATATATATACAACACGTAACGTAATTAACGCACTTCGAGAAAGTAGTTTGTTCAGAATAGTTTACTAAATCGATTCCTATCATTTTGAATATAGGCAATATTTTATCCCAAAAATAATTAAAACTATGTAAATTACAGTCACACTAAATCTGTACAGTCAAAACAAACTGAAATGGACCGTAACTTAAGGCAATAAGACTTTTAAGAGTGCAGTATTATTTGTATTATTACTAAATCTGTCATTCATTAAAAAGAAAGAAAAATGAACTTTATTTCAAGCACGTTAAAGTCTTTGCGTTCGTGGATTTGTACTGTGACCACAAAATTCTTCCGAATTTAGTATAACTAATTTGATAAATAATCAGTGCATAAAAATGTTTAACTAAAAATTCAGTGTATGTATTATGATTATAACATAATATAGTAATTAGGGTGTCTGAGGGTGTGCGTTAATTACGTTTCATATCGTATATATATATATATATATATATTATATGAGTTCATACATAAAATTTAAGAGTGAACACTTCACAGACGTTTTGTACCAATAATTTTATCAGCCAGTGCATACAGCTCTTCCACGGTCTGTAACAAAATAAAATAAAAACCAATTACTGTAAACAAACACCAGTTAAACTTTGAAGAAACTGAAGCATTACTTACTACTAGTTAATGTTACTTACACACCCTCATACACACACTCATGCTTTCAACATATTATACACAAAGAGATACATATTAATACACACTATACCATTTTTCTTTATATCAAAACACATTTTGTTATGTTTAAGATTCCCATTTCATCTGTTGGATACCTTCTATTTAAGTTATCTTATGTTAGTCTGTTAATATGTAATAGGGAAGAGCACTGTGATCTGAAATACAGATATATATTTATCTAGTTCAGACACAGATGTTCCATCATTCTTTGTGAACTAGGTATAGATCATAGAATAGTTATTTATAAATGTGATAGTTATGCAAGTTTTGAAAATAAAGTATTATTATTATTATAAATGCAACGTAGAACGTATTGCCTACACAAGTTTAAGTCTTTGTAAAGATCACAAGATGTCGAGCTGTAGTGTAGTAAACATTTTTTATGCCTACGAAGTAAACTACTTAAATGCCAAAGGAGTTACATATGGCTGTAATCTGTTCCAGTATAACAACTTCAAATGATTAAGTTTGACCCATTTAGTTCCAAATTGCCATAAACAAAATAAGTACTTCTACTACTTGATACCGGTAGACATTCATGTATTTGTCTCGCTTTATTTTGTGCTCGTGGACTCCGTTTAGTGCCTCTTCATCTTTGCGTTTTCGAGACAAGTAACACACAGTGCGTAATTATAATTGATGACAAACTCCGTCGGGCTGATTTCCTTACATTATTATTATATTCCAAGTTTCATATTAGGAGCCGGTCACATGATCGACGGTCGACGATTTAAAGTGTAATTTTGTTTCAGTAGTGAACGTGTTATTAATGTCTATTATTGTTACGAGTATTTATGTAAGTAATGATTGGGCTAGACAATCTCTTTCCTTAACCAATAAAACTAAAAATCGTTATTGAATTTATCCTGTCAGACAAGTATGGCGAATGTTAATATACCAATGAAACTTAGTGAAATGGTCAGTATTATAAAATTCTAACGATTTAATTGTGACAAAAAATAATGTATGAAAATTTAATTAAAAAAACAATTGGTGTTCCTGTCGGTGTTCCAAAATTCCGTCAAACTAAAATAATGAATATTTTATTGTTGTAAGAGTCAACTATGGGAAATGCAAAACAGATCTAATGGCTAATGGGCGATAGATGGCGGTAAGTCTATCTCGTTTACTCCAGATTTAACACTTTCACTGTCCGGTTTCCAGACACAATACTAAGTATTACATGGTAGACCCACGCTGCGGCTATATTATATGTCCGAATGGGTCCGCTCGACTGGGGAAGGACCACGCTTTCACAGAATACCAGTGTCAAATAGCAGCTTAACGCTGCTGTATTTCGTTTGGTGAGTGTAGAGAACCAGAGCCCCGTTTTACTGAAACGAGAAATTCCTCTCGTATGACAACGCATCTGCATTTTGATTTGTTATCGAGGATAGATGTAGATGTCTATGGTCCACAGCAACCATTTGCCATTACGTTGACTGTGTGCTCGTTTGCCAACCGTAAACTATAAACAAAGACAATAGTTATGAACCATTGTGTAGCTATGCAGATAGTAAAAGTGTAAAATTACCCTGGCAGGCAACGGGAAAGAGCGTCCGAGGTACAAGGTGCATATCCGCTTACTTAGCGTGGCAAATCCTGTCTACGACGGAAGAGGGCGCATGTGTGAAAAAGAGGATTATAAAAAGAAGACTATGTCTTTGTCTCAAAATGTCTGATTTTAGTCTCAAATTTTCTTTTTTCAAAAAATTTAACACTATGTATTGAAAATATAACTTAGTTGACAACGATAACAAAATAGTTTTATAATATTTCATCGTGGTAAATAAATACGAAGACTGTTTGCAAAACGTGAAAGTCATAAATTAGTGTCTAACAAAGTTTGCTACAAGGTGTATATATGTAACATACAAAGAAGAAAAATCTATAAACATGAAAAATATACAAAGTGAAAATTAAGCTTGTATTGTATAAAGAAAATTTAAAAAATTAAATTTAGAGAACTTTGGTCAAAGGATTTTTTTTTTCATAAATTTAATAGCGCTGATATTATATCATGCTACATAATAACCTATTCCAAGACTTCGCTTTCACTTAACATTTTAATTTAATATTATTTAGTTACTTTTAATATTTTTCAGGGAATATCCTCGTTTCATTTTTGTGACAACAAATGTAAGAAAAATAGATACAATCCACAGCTTACATATTTTTGACAACATACAAGATTTTGAGCTTTCCAGCAGTCCAGCAGTGTTTTCTTTCTGTCACTACTGGAATATGAATATATTTGTTGAATACACTTTTCTTAAAGCATTGATTGTTCCGACGTATAGGTTTTGAAATAAGCAGTAGTCTGAAATCACTCTGTTATGTGTATATGTTATATGTTATGGACTATAGTCCGTATATCGGTCTATAGACCGATATGGTTTAAGTTATTAATAAAATAACAGTTATAGTGACCAAACCAAACCATAGCATTAAGTTATATACATTGCATTATAATTTATTAATTTTAAGTGCAATTACTTTAAATTTTTATTGTTTTGTAGTACCAAGAACGTTTACCGATTTCATGATAAGGTGACTTTTGTAGGTTAATCACTCGTCAAAGCAAGGTTTCGAGACAGAACTAGCTAACTAGTGAAGATTAGTTCTTAATAAATAAACAGATAAGGTGAAAAGAATATTTTAATGGATCGCGTTTATAACAAATTATAATAATTGTATCACGTAATATAGCAGATTTTAAATTTACTCTTCGATTTTTACGATCAAATTCTTTTACTATCCTAACTTATTAATTCAATGAAATGCATTCTTAAGGTTTTCGTATTCATGATATAATATCTTTTACGTAGATAACTCATATGGAGTTTTTATAAAAGTCACACTGTGTTGATGGTTTGCCAGTCAACTGAAATCTTTGTGAAAAAAGCTGCGGGCTTTTTTAAACTATTTGCTTTTCATAACACGTGTGATAAGGGGCTATAGAACTCGCAGTCAGCACATGGCTTACAAGGAGTTATTTTAAAATTGTTTGTAATTATAAATAATATAGAATATTATAATTTGGAATACACTAAAATGTTTTATATAATCCAGGCATATTGGTACTTACTATTCAGAGATAAATGGGATAACGTGTATACTATTAAACTAACATTGCAAATAATTTATCACGTTTAAGAAAGAGAAACATTAGTAGGTAATGTTACATTCTAGCTGGTAATAATAAACTTTAAGTTTATTTTATGGTAATGTTTGAAAGCGAGAGTGAAGGTAAACAGAAAAGCAAAATAATATATAAATATACTACTATAATATAATATAAAACTACAATAAATGAAAGACTAAAGTTCACCGGACCAAAGACCCAATATTATTATTTCACATCCCTTTAGATATTTGTTTTGTGATCTACATCACGGAGCAATCAAAACATCGAAGGGTCACTTCGAGTAGCTATCTGGTTAAATCGGGTTTGACACGAGCCTTGTAACTTGTAGGTATGTAAACATACCATATTTAATAAAAGTAATAAATCTAAGATGGTTTACGGGGATTTGCTAGCGACAGTGAAGACCTTTTGATACCCTGACATAATTTATTTGGTCTAGATTATTCGAGTGACATAATTTTTATAAATAACAGTGTGAATGTGAGAGTGTCAGTAAGGTGACCTTTGTCCACAGTATAAGCCGTGATAGATGCGTTCACCACAAAATTCACAGTACTCGTGCAACCCGGATTCCCCATTTCCACAGGCATGAACGAAATTGTTGTTTGTTATTTTAAGTGCTAATTTATTAGGTGCAAACTTAGTGAGCTAAGCGGCATGTCTGAAGAATAAAATGAGGAAGTGGAGACTAGGATGCTCCATAACCTTCTCAGAAATAAGAGGAAGCTTATGCCACATCAGTAAAGAAACCGACCAGAGGCAAAGCTTCATACAACCGCACTATTATAGATACACTACTACTTATAAGTTAGCTTATGTTTAAGGCACGTGTGTTCGTGATCACTGACGGCCCGTCACGTACAGGGAGAAACTGCTTTAAACCGGCTCGGCTCGGCCAGTGTTTAAACTCAGGCCACTTGTGTAATGCAGGGTGTACACACACAGGGTGTACGCACAGGGTGCAAACTTCTTATTAGCGTTCAAAATTTTTACCTATTTTGATAGGGTTGACACAGGAGAATAATCTCTATATATAAAAATAAATTACTGTCCGTTAGTCTCACAAAAGCTCGAAAATGGAAAGAACCATTTTGATAAAACATTTTGTATATGTATGAATAGGTCTCTGGATGGTTTATATTGACTATTGAACTCGGTAGGTGGCGCTATTGTCGAGTTCCAAAAATCACTCGTAAGAACCCGCCCCGGTATTGCTAGTAATAAATATTCAAATCGTTTATTAGCTTTTTGCTACCTATGTACCTACGATAAAATATCTTTTTAACAAACTAAGCTAAATATTTTATAATCATAACTTTTTGTTTTTGAATAATTTGTTGTGCCTTTTAGTTGTATGATAGTTTTTTAATGTTATATAAAGTTTTTTTCTTAAATAATCTAATAGAAAACACTCACATGGACTATAGTCCACGTGAGTGCTTCCTATAGCTTGTATAAAGCTTGCCACTCATAAGTTTATTACGTGATAGAGCCATGCTGCAGTCATATTAGTAGTATAGTTGTAGCATGAATGGGTCGACCAGAGAAGAACCACGCTCTCACAGAATACCAGCGTAAAATAATAGTTTAATGCTGCTCTGTTTCCTATGGTGAGTGTAGAGAACTGGAGACCCTTTTTACTGGAAATGAGGCATTCCATCTAAGTCCTCACGGGTGACAACGCATCTGCATTTTGATTCGTAATCGAGGATAGATGTAGATGTCTATGGGCCACAGCAACCACTTACCATCAGGTGGACTGTGTGCTCGTTTGTCACCCTATCCTATAAAAATATTCGCAACATTTTTGTTCAATGCAACAAAAACGGTAAAATTGTTGACGGTAAAAATGTATGAGATATCTCTCTACCCCTATACCATTTGTCTACCACATTAAAAATAAGTAACCGAATGACCGAGCTTTGCTCGTTTTTTTTTTGAAATTACATTTAGATACAAATTACATACTGATGAATAATATTTTTTGGTCTTATTGACATAATAGAAAAAACTGAACTGGTTATTTGAATAAAAAATCATGAGTGCAATTAGTTTAATTAAAATTTTCGTATTTTTAAAAAATACAAAAAAAGCGCTCGAAATAATAGATTTTCTCACAAAAGAAGGTAACTTGAAAAAAACGGAAAAAAATCGGACCGGAGACAGGACGCGAACCAAGGCATTACGACTTCGCGACCACTCTATATCCACTTGAGCTATTACGATCATTAACACAGTGTCAAAATTTACCTTCTTATATTGTAGCAGTTTTTCATTGCCTGAAAACACGGACAAAAAAACATTTTCTAAAATAAATCCTAGCTAGATCGATTTATTGAGCCCGAAACTTCCTGGACACTAAATTTTATGAAAATTGTTGGAGCCGTTACCGAGATTCCGAGAATTGCTTGTTTAAAGGTATAGGATAAATAATAGTCAAGTACTAGGTAATTACCTAGTGGACTCTTTGGGATAATTAAATTGATATATTTTTATTTACTTTATTCGCTTTGAACAAGTTGCATATTATACTATCAATAATAATTATTAATTGTATACTGTGTACAATTTAATATTTTTTATTCACACGGTACAGTAAACCATATTTACACTCTTTTATATTTATATGACACTTTTTTTTACTAATTTGTTATTTTTAAATCAATCATGAAACGAAGACATGTACGATGCCCTATGTGTACACCATGTTTTACACACGTGCTCTGAGTTTGAGCACTGGCCGAGCCGAGCTGCTATGCTTTATAGCGGCTCGGCTCGGCCAGTGCTTAAGTTGTTTCTCCCTGTACGTGACGGGCCGCCAGTGATCACGAACACACGTGCCTTAAACATAAGCCAACTTAAGTAGTAGTGTGTAATAGTTGAATGCATGTATGATGCTTTGCCTCTGGTCGGTTTCTTTACTCATGTGCTTATATGCCCACCTTTGGGACTTTTATAGACTGAAACTTTTACTTAACGTAGATTTTTGGAAAAAGGCTGATAAACTGTAAACATGTTATTGGATAATCATTTGTAAAATACGTTTTAACTGTAATGGTTATAGCCATTGAATAATAGAATGAAAACAATACATCTCTAGATCTTATGAATATCTCCCAAATGCTTTGTAAATCGCACAAAGCCGCTGTCTCGAAGAAGTGATTTTTTATAGGAGGGGGGCAAACGAGCATACGGCTCACCTGATGATAAGTGACTATCGCCGCCCATGAACAACTGCAACACCAGGGGCATTGCAAATACGTTGCCGGCCTTTTAAAAGGGAGTAGGCTCTATTCTTGATGGTCCCTAAGTCGTATCGGGCCGGAAAAATCTCTGGTGGTAGTCGTTTCCACAAGTAATTTGAGCAAGGAAGAAAAATTGTTTTAAATCGCACAGTGGTGGACTGCCAGTCATCCAGATGGTATGGTTCGGTTGGAATTAGTCCGAAAAATTCCTCTTAGAACTCCCCGTGGTAGATGCAATAAAATACGCAAAGAGAGAATCTTACGCCTAGGGAGTAGTAGTACTGGAAAAGACTAGAGCACACTTTTTCAGCACGATAGGAGGGACGCTATTAGGCCTATTCGACTTGTTGACGTTCAGGGTGAGGAGTGCTCTGCGCACAGAGCTTTGGGTAAATAGCACATCTTGCATGGAACACTCACACCGCGGGATGGTTGGCGGTGTGTTCCCCCCGTCATCAAGAGTCGAGTTGGATGCAAAGAGAGAGCCCAGTAGATCGGTTTTGTCCATTGCAACATGGGCCAGTTAGTCGAACTCCCTGTGCAGAGATGGGAGAAAAGCTGACAGAAGTTCCCTTGGGCAGCCTTGTGCTCCCGAAGAAAGACTAACTAGTGTCTCGCCAATTCTGCCGATGTACTCTGACTTTGCTTTGACAATGACACTTTTCAAGGACCTGGAGGCGGAATTTTATTTCTTTTTAAGCGTGCTTACTTTAAAATTATTTTAATTGATTTCGTAAATTAAAGCAAATTTTAAAAATCCTAGTAACACTAGATAATCGGTTGTTTGTGATTATAATATATATTATTTTGTCTAATTTTTGCCCCTCAAATCTGTACTTCATTGAAAACAGAACTAAATTAGCCGAAAAACTTTTGTAACTTTGTGTTTTTTTATCGAGAAAATATTATCCCATTATGTGTTTGAAAAATTACAGTACTTAGAATGGTAAAGATGTATCGCTAGATATAAATGTTTGTTTTCAGTTTTGAACTTGATTATGGTGCTGTGGTAAAATTCAGTTCTATTCCGCGTGACGCTTTATTATTTAGAATATTAAGCGTGCTTACTCTTACTTACTAAACAAAATCTTATTAAAAAACAACCTAAACGAGACATCGTATTACATTAATTAGTGTTATCAACATTGAACTTTAAAAACATATGCATATTAAGATAACGCAGATTTTTTTAAACTTAAGTAAAATAAACAGAATACGGAAATAAATCTAGGAAAATTATATACACGTGCATAAGTCTACGCACGGGTGCGTGCGTAAACTACGAGTAGGTAAATGCAGATGCTTGTGCATATTTTTCGCACGCTAATCTGTGCTTTAGCTCCCCATAACCTTTAGGTTCTTTACCATAATCTACGTTTAATTGCTAAATATCATTTTTTTTTCGGGGGACGCTGGCATTTATAATATAAATTAACATTAAAACATATTTATTGTTCTAAACTCGCGGCATTAGTTTGTAAATTTCACGGAAGACGTCACAGTCACGCATATTTATTGAAGAGCTAATTAAACAGCAATAAAATATACTCGTAATAAACACCAAATTTTCGAGGTGAATAGTAATAATGTGAAGTGGTATGATATTATGTAAAACTGATGTGATAAAATATTATATTTTGTTTTAATATATAATATTATAATTTTATATTAACGATAATATTACCGTAAGATTTTTTAGTGTCTTAATATCATTGGTCTCGTATTTGAGTTGAGCAAATTGTTCCTCAGTGAAACGAACGCCTCTCCCGATGTCTGATATTTTGCGTTCTTCCAACTCTTCACGACATTTATCAAGTAATTGTTGAGGTGTTAGTTGCTCAGATTCTTCGTCAATTTCCTCGTGTTCAGCCTCTTCTTCCATTGTCTGAAGAGATTCAAGGAAATATTATTACGATCTGTTATATGATACGAGACTTTCAGATTTAGTTGTAAAATTGTACGCATAAAATAGAAGCGTTTTCTATTTTTCTGAGAGCTTATTTTTCAATCATCAGATATAAGTTATTCATTTATGAAAATACAACTAAACAAATAAAAATTACAGTTGTATGAACAGAATAATTCAATTTGTTCCACTTTATGTTGAGTCAGGTTAAAAATTATTTAATTGATAACTTTTATCCGATGAATGATGATTGAATAATCAGTCCTAAATAATATACAAGGTTGGTCAAAAGTTTTCGAAATCGGACACTTTTGAATGTGTTATAGAAAAGCGTTCTATTTTTTTCGAATCTGAGATTCGTTAGTACTACATTATACTTCAATGAGCAAAATGGAGATACTCGAACTTCGTGCGATTATTAAATATTTCTGCCTGTAAAATCTTTCAACAAAAAGTGTTTTTGAACAATTGCAGTCTACTTTGTCAAACAATACTCTTTCTTATTCTACAGTGGCGTACTGGTGCGCTAAATTTAAAGGCTGCAGAACCACCTGAAATGACGACACTCACTCCGGCTCTAACAAAGGCAGCTACGTAAGAAAACGTTAAAAAATAAAATTGTTAGGGTAGATTGACGTGTAACCAACCATCCGTTATTTTGCTAGAGACTTTAAGGCAATAGAGTAAGTCAGCTCAAATTCTAATTTCGTCCCCACTTGCCCGTGCGTCGTATGCTATGTACCGACACGTTTGTTATCACTAATACTGTAAGTAGATAGGTCGTTAGACACTTATTTCATTAGGTTTATTATATTTATGCCTGTTTCTTAACGCCAAGCCAGTCGCTTCTTATTTTTATTACGGTCATTTCCCATTTTAATTTTACGTCGTCCTGTTGCGTAATGTATATTCTGATCGTAAGCGACACAACCTCCCCGTTCAAAGGCCGAAGCGAAGTGACCGTGCGGCAGGAATCATGCTTCAAAAGGCCGATAGTTTAGGTAATTTCTTTTTACAGTGAAAATAATGGTATTTTAAAAAAAGTAAATAACATAAGCACTGCTTTATAGTTAGTTCAGTTAGTATGCAAAGTTTCATGATCTTATTTAAAGTATTTTATGAATAACAGCGGTTTATTGTTTATTTTGGAGGTAACTTTGGATTTTTTTTCTATCGAGAAAATTTTACGAAATCGTGTTTTCGTCTAACATAATCCTTAACATTAATCCTCAACTTTACCATAGATTTATTTCAAAATTAATGCTGCAATATTTTCGGCATAACGAAGGATCTTACGAAGCCATTTGAGATTATATTTCCCCTTAAGGCTTTCGTTTGGGACAATTCAGTTTATTTTAAATCATACAGATGTACAAAAGAAAGCACGAGTTCACATTTCAAAGCTAAACTGCTTACGTAATAATTGAAGAAGATTCAGATAGTTTTTGCGCTCGTTTCGTAACTGAAGATGAAATGTGGGTATACCATTTTGACCCGGGAACGAAAAACCAAAGTAAGGTGTGCAAAAGGCCAGGAAAAATTATTTATAAGATATACAAAAACTTATACCACCATGGTGTCGACCAGCGCCCCGCAGCGCCACCGCAGACAAATTAGTTACTGCTTCAGAGTTTTTCAGATTGTAATAAAAATAATATTTCATAAACATACTATCCAATTCAACGTGGTAGAGTGACGATGCAACTGTATTATGATTGCAGCATGAATAGTTCGGTTTGACTGGGCAAGGACCACGCTCTCACAAAATCACGGCGAAACATAGCAGCCTAAACGCTTACGTCTTCCCCGCCAGCCAAAGATTCAAGGTGTCTTGAATTTTCAAAGGTATATCACAAACAATTATATGTCACCAAACGTCAAAAAAAAAAATCAAACAAAAAAGCCAAAATTAAAATATAAACACGTTTAGATTATGTTTCCTTTCTTCGTATTTATTTATGTAATCTTTTTTACTTAAAGATTATCATCTACTCGGATGTAGTTTAACTTATTTGTGTCATATTTTTTTCTTTTGCATATACGTATATTGCATATTTTTGCTTATACGTAATATTTTGTTATTTTAATATTTGTATTTAATTTATTTACTTATTAGAATGCAAGTTTATCCTATTATATACACCTCCTTCTGTACAATACTTCAATTTTTCCGTAACTTTATAGCGGCCTTGAATATCTTTTTAGCGATAAACTGCTTTACTAGGATTAAAGTTTTTCTTCCGGTATAATTTCTTTTTCATGTTTTGTGGTGTACGATAAAATTTTATACAATACATATCTGTTGATACTATTATCAATAGTCGTTACCTGAACAAGTTTTTGTGACGCTTTTAGTTTTCTGTAGTAAGCTTCCGCTCTTTGCTTTGATGCTCTAGCAACTTCTTTGTTAACCATTCGCCAGAAAACGAAAACGGGATGATGAAGCAACTCGGGAGGACATTCCTTAAGAGGCGTTTTGCCGACAAGTATAAGTCGTTTCAGTCTTTCCATCTCATCGAGCTGTGTAATTAAGATTTATTTATTAATCTAAGTATTAATTATAAAAACTGTATATATAATTAAAGAATTTTCTATAATTAAATATAAATGAAATAGATTGTATAAAATACCAAGCTGATATAGGCAATAATATACGCAATAAACGCGCTCGCTGTAAAATTCACAGTACGCGAGCATTCCGGGTTCGATCCCAACCGACACCAATGTAATTGGTAATTGCGATTTTAAGTGCTGATTTACGAAGTGATCGGCGATGATGGAAAACATCATGAAAAAATCTGTATGTCAGAGAAATAATATAATTTTTTTTTGAAGACGTGAAATCCACCAACACGCATTGGGCAGCATGGTGGACATTTCCTTGCCCTAAAAACCTCTCAGAAGTGAGAGGAGGCCAGTGCTTTGTTTTGGGACGTATATTGGCTGTAACTTTAGATTTATTGAAAACTATTAAAAATATGAAGTTAATTAGCTAAAATTTAACGAGCGTTTTCACGCGGACCTTAAGCAAACTAAAGTAAAGCCTGGTTTTATGAAATCTAGACACATTATTACGTACGGTTTTTAGAAAATTTATAACATTATCTGACTTATCCTAAGAAATTTTAAATGTCGTATGTCTGGCAGATAAAACGGCGGCAAGTCATAATGTGCCTGTATAATTGACAGTTATATCGTGAGGCTTTAGGCTTAAAGCTTAAGGCTTTCAAGGTTAGATAAACTGGCAAGTCAGACCAAGGGTATGTAAATCGATATAAATTTAAAATTATTATCGTGAGAAGGTCTATCTCTCTATAGATCTGTGTTATAGCAATATGGTTATATATTAATAAGATAGACAATACCAAGAAAATTAAAATCATGCTTGCATTGAATTTAATTAATTGAATGAAAAAAATAAAAACAAATTAAGAGTAATTGTCATCGCACACCAAATCGAATGTTTAAAAAGTACATATTATTTTGAAAATAATTCTCATCTTATTTCATAATGCAAGAAGGTACCACTATGTGGGTAGATACTGTATTAATATATACGAGTATACATAATATATAATAAAGAAATTAGATCTAACAATATTTAAAAAAAATTATTACGAAATGATTTTGTTTTTCACCCTGAACGAATTTTAACACTGCATGTTATTTGATTGAAAATGAAGAACTTCTTCTTGTTCAAATGTGTGTTTGATGCAATAAATTTTTTTATATTTCTATTTTGACTTAACTTACCGTACAACCATGAACATCTGCACGCAATTGCAGATGCATCTAAGCAGAAGCAGAAGGTATCTAAGTCGTATCAGTCCAAAAAACTCGCTGGTGTTAATCAATTCCACAATAAGGTGCGAGGAAGAAAACTTTGTAAATCGCACAGAGGTGGAACGCCAATTATCCAGATGGTATGGATGGTATCGCGAGTTTTGTCGCAATGTGAAATGGCGAAATTGAGTGGCTGTAATTAGGTCGAACAATTCCTCTGAGCACTCCCCGTGGTTTATGCGATAAAATACGCGAAGAAATGCAACATCTCTTCGCAGCCCTAGCAAGTAAAGCCGATCAGAAAGAGCTCGGTCGCCGACAATTTGAACCGCTCTGCGCTGGATACGATCAAGTGGAAGGAGCTGACACTGGGGTGCCCCGGCCCAGAGACGAGAACAGTATTCTATGTCAAGCTGAACTATCTCTTGGTAAAGTTGCAAGCGGTGTGCCGGCGTGAAATACTGTCACTCCAGGTTCTTAGAGGCCAATTTGGCCTTCCAGTGACCGCGAAACTGACGTTGTTCCATATGTCAATTTTCGGTAGGAGTAGGTACCAGAAAAGAAGCGTTAGAACCGATGCCAGCTCTGGAGCACACGTTCTCAGCACAAGTCGGGGAATTCGGTCAGGCCTACTCGACTTGTGGATGTCCAGGGAGAGGAGTGCTTTGCGTACTGATCACTGTGTGAATCGTACATCAAGCATAGAGCACTCACACCGAGGGATGATCGGCGGTGTGTTTAACATCGACTCTGTCACCGAGAGTCGATGTTAAAATAAGGTTACAAATGCTAGCTCTGACGGAGATACCTAGAGCTATAAAGCCAGGCCTTTTAATTAAATTTTGGTTGTTTGTATATATGATATAAAAACTTACAACTCTCATGGATATCCTTTTGTTGAGGTTTTCTTCATTCACTGAGCGGATCCTTTCCTCTAAGTCGGTCATATAAGTCTTGTCTGTGAGCCGAACGAGATTGGAGCCCATATGCTTCTCAAGTCGGGCACGTACATGAGGGTGGGCAAAGCTGAAGGAAGAAATTTTCAGTTATAAAAACGCTAGCAAGTGCTTCGGAAAATTTTAAAACTTTTTGAAGAGAATATGAATTGAAATGATTCCTTCTGCAACTTTTTTTATCTATCAGTCTTACTTTAAGGAATTTGCTGGTACTTATCATACTAGGCATGCTGGTTGATCATGGCAAATATACATTTGAACTGTTAATGCTAATTCCAATGTCAAGTTTTTGGGATTTAAGAGCAGTTTTTTTGAAATGGATTATCTCTAGCCCGGAATCTCTCTTTGTATACCTAGAGCGATTTTAAATGATTCAAGCTCGCATAATACCAAATGAATGTGCCACGCCCATTTTTCAAATATGGACGATATTTGAAAAGGTAATTAATCAAATTCAAAGGTAATATTTGCATATAAAAACAAATAAATATCACGAGAGGCCCTATTTGTTTAATAATATATTATGAACATAAGGAGAGAATTTATGGCTAAACTAAATAAACGTATTACGTTAGTATGAATGCAAATATAACTCACCTATCCCTAACTGACCGTGCCATATGAAAAAAAAATGCCTTATAACCGGTAGCTGATGTGGATGTAATGATAAAATAGATACACGAAGATAACCGCAGTAGTTTTTAAATAAATATTGGCACCTTTTAAATCAAACTGAAGTGACTCACGAATTTACAGCCCTCCTGATGGTAAGTGGCTACTAGAGCTCTATATAGCCTTCAGACTGAAATACAGCAGTGAAATCACTGCTGCATGGCGCGGGATAAAAATATAAATTATTGCGCTTACTTGTGAATGAAATAAAATATTTACAAATAAATTTAGAGTTACTTTGAAATATTTTGTGTGTTATTATCATTATGAAGAAAATTAGTTAAAATAAAAAATGAATATTGTAGGTATATGCGACATAAACTGGTGTAAACATATAAAAATCAATTAGACAATTCAATCGTTCTTAGCAAAAGCGAAAACGCCTTTGTACTCCTATTTTCGTAGATAAAAAAAATTGCTGCAGAAAACAAGTAAAACATTTGCAAATTATTAATGAAATAATATCATAAAAAATTAAAATAAAATAATTAAATGAGTAACTTACGTGGCCCGTGTGGGCTTGTGAAGTGTTTGCCGATTCGTTTTGATCAGTATTTCGATAGACGTACAGGAGAAAAATAATATATATAAATATTCTGTCTAGACGGCTTTGCTGTAAAGTTTTAGTGGTTTTGACGCTAGATGCCTCGTGTCATAGTTGAGACCTTTCTCGAGGTATAAAATGGGGCTGGTACAGTGTGGTACAGCCCCCGCCAACACCACATATAAGGGCTGTTAAAGAAAACGTACACACTTGTTGGTATTGACTCCGGAAAATGAATTTAAATACGGTCTCTCTTTTTTATTATTACTTTAAAAATAAGATAGTAGATCGTATGGTATTGTTATATTTTATAACACGTTCTGATTGAACATATTTTTAGAAAAACGGAAATTATACGCCAGTTTTTATTACCGTACAACATTTATGTACCGTGAGTCTAAACAGACGAAGGTTAATAGTATATTCATTAATTAATATTTTGGTAAAAATAATTTAGTAATTATATAAGTACTTTCGTACTAAAATAATATTACACTTACGTTTTTAATTAAATTACAAAGTTTACATTTTTATTTTATGAACTTTAGTAAAATCCTATCTATACTGAATACAATAAAGTGCTAACGGAAACCTTTCTGAAATTGCGTAATTTAACATAGTAAAACTATCATCAAAATTGATTTCTTTGTTTTCAAGACAATTGCGGATATTTATACATACATACTTACATACGGGTCAAATACGGAACCTCCATTTTTGAAGTCGGTTAAAATATAATGGATCAACCTGTTGTGTGATCGCCTTTATATTCCGTGACTAAAGGCTGTCAAACGATCATACGAGTATAGCATGGGATTTTTTTTGTATCATCCATCGTTAATGGGAAAAGTGCTCCTGTCAACAGTGTCATCAATTACATGACGGCCTGGTAGCGCAGAGATTATTTGCCTACGCTGCTACGGGGCACAAGTTCGATTCCCGCACGGAAGAAGTGTTTATATTAAATTCTACATAATTATCCACGTGCGGTTTATTTAATTTATAATACTTTTGTTGTTGCAACCCAATACTGAATTGTCTTCATTTAAAAGATTTTCTTTCTACGATTTCTTTCGCGTGGAATGCAAATTACATATGACGTCACTGGTAACATGCATACCTACCGTTTCATTAATACCTAAATTAGGTTGCTTATTTGTTACTAACTTAATAAAGAAGCACTTTTACTTTAGAAGTAGAAGTAGTAAACAACAAAAGGTTAAAAATTTGACTGTTTTAAGAATGCAATTTAAAGTTGCCTACTCTGCAGTAAATTAAAAAATTGAAAGTAATAAATGATCTATAAACGACATGGAATGATCTAGATATTACTGTCTATAAACACGTTGAAGTTTTAAACGCTCTAAACGAACGGAGTGCCACAAATGAATGTCCGTCACTCCTAAATTCTGACCATGGGACTTATCATAGTAAATGCTAAATCTAACGGGAATTGTGAACCTTTAAACTTAAATGGTAAATTATTTGGAATGTGATAATTCAAAACACATTCCCTTTAGGTTGCTCCAATCAGTATAGTTGCTTTTACGAGTATAATATTTCTCTTCAGCTCTGTGATGTCTGTTATCGTTGTACAATTTCCACAGAATTAGTACGTCAACTTTTACCCTAAGCTTATGGAAAGCCACGCCTGTTAAATTCAAGGAGTTGAGGAGCTCAAGTAGTTAAATACGCAATCATAGGCCATTAAAATATCTATCGATGTAAAATATTTTGACTCGTTGACTACCACGTCCAATATTTTTTTTAATTACTTTATTAACAGATTAATTTCTTAGCGATGGCACTGTCCTTGCATATAATAAATCTGCATTATAGATGTTATTCAAAAAATTCGAAAAAAATTAATTTCGCCGCCTATGTCTATGTTTACGTCCGTTTGTAATCCCGATTTTCAATCTGTAGTGTCAGTATATCTAGATGTGGCGGCGCTGTCATCGCGCCGCAAGCGAAACACACCGAAGCCTAAATCACGCTATCAACATTCCGAATCATAAACAGCATATATAGAACATCTTCGAACTATGACAAGGAGCATTGGCCACTCCCCGGGCAGAACACCTTGACCGGCAGAAGATCTCCCCTTTTCCTTTCACGGCCACAGTGGTGACCCCGACGTGATCTGAACACGCAACCAAAACACCTTCGGAAACTACAACTTCAAGCCTTCGTCATTATCCTCAAGAACCCCTACCATTCACTACTGAGAATCGTCTTCTGCAGTCTTCAGTTCCTGCAAGCCAGTCCAACTTGTCTTCATCTCGACTCACCGCAGATTTATAAGGCAGACTTCTGGCACTTGTTCCGGCACATCGTTCTCACCGGCATCACTTGCCAGTGCGTAGTACGGCATGCATTTCACATCGGCATATCATACGCACCGGTGTCACTTGCCCTTACGCACACAGCATGCATTCCCCACCGGCATTAAAAGGACACACCGGCAATCGGACTGCACTATCGACCTCCGGTCTGAGCAGGGGGGTGATGTGGCGGCACTGTCATCACGCCGCAAGCGAAACACACCGAAGCCTAAATCACGCTATCAACATTCCGAATCATAAACAGCATATATAGAACATCTTCGAACTATGACACGGAGCGTTGGCCGCTCCCCGGGCAGAACACCTTGCCCGGCGGGAGATCTCCCCTTTTCCTTCCACGGCCACACTAGACGACAAAATCATATTCATGTCATAAACTCATAATAGGCGACTTTATTATTTCATAAATCTCCAAAACTTAACAGGTTTGAATTACTGTACATTAACCAGGGTTTACACGGACATTTAGTTACCGAATACACTCAACTGTAAACAGTCACGCTTCAATAACTTTTAAATTATGTCGTTGAATATAAATTTTATAATGCAGTGTCTCGTCTCTTACGTAAGGATTAAGAATGATTTTGAATAAACTATAATATTTTTTACATTTTACATTTTGATTACGCTGTGGTTTAGTAGTACGTGTACCAGGATACTATGCTGATTGCAGTCAGTAGGTAATAGTAGATTGTATTGTTTAATAGGTAAATTATATCGCGAACAATTTTTAAATTTTGTCATTTATTTTGTATTACCCGTGGCACATTACATATTATATAACAATTACATTTAAGGATGTCTTTATCCGAATATTTTAAAAGGTATCTTATCTATGTCAAATATAAAAAAAAACATACTAAATGTATGTTTAACAAAACTTAATATAGCATTTAAATTACAAATATATTTATTAAAATTAAAATAAGAGTCGTTCATAAATGCTGGGCACGCGAGAGTTAAAAATGGACGAATTTATTGACGTGGAAACCTAAAAATAAAATAAAAGAATAATGAGCAGATTTAAATATAAAAATTTTGTCTACTTATGATAACTAATATATGTTTCTACAAAAAAAAATATATGTATAATAACTTTATTTTATTTTTATAGAAGAGGGGGCAAACGAGCATGTTAAGGGACTACCGCCACCCATGATCAACCGCAACAGCAGGGGAATTGCAGGTGCGTTGCCGGCCCTTTAGAAAGGAGTAAGCTCTTTTCTTGAAGGTCCCCAGGTCGTATCGGTCCGGAAATATCGCCGGTGGTAAACTATTCCACACAGAGGTGTACGCGGAAGAAAACTCCTTTTGAAACGTACAGTGGTGGACCGCCAAGCAACCAGATGGTGTGGATGGTATCGGGACGTTTGCCGCGTAGTGCGTTCACGAAATTTGGCAGTTGGGATTAATCCGAACAACTCCTCAGAGCATCTCCAGGGTATATGCGAAAGAAAATGCAAAGAGATGCAACATCTCTTCGCAGTGCCAGTGAATTAGGATCGGAAA